AGGGTTTAGGGATTGGGGTTGAGGTTTAGGATTGAGGGGTTTTTGGGGCTCGGGATGAGGTTTTGGCGGGTGGAGGCCTAGGAGTTTTGATGTTGACGGTTGTTGGGTCTTGTTAAAGTTATATGAGAGTTTCCGAGAAGTAGGGGTACCTTATTTTGGGGTCCTTATAATAAGTAAGGATCCTAAATGTACTATATTAGGGTCCCCTATTTTCGAAAACCCCCATATTGTACTACACCACAGAGCTCAATTCTGGTATCAAGGCCCCTAACATTGGTTTCTAAGGGGATGTCTGCAAGTTCCTAGATCCTGGTAAGGATTCTTGAACGTTCCTTAGAATGGCTGTTCTCAAGTTTTACAAAGCATCTGTGAACCCTAGACCTAAACCCTAAACCCTCTTGGGCAGGGCTTTTCGAAGTTTTTTTTTCAACAATTTCCTCACTGTCTAGGGTTCAGCTTGAGGGGCTGCAGGATGTTAATTTTACAAGGCGATCCAGAATGTACAAGAGGATTCCAGTGTGTCCCTTGATCCGTAACCCCGGTAAGCCCCTGTGAGCCCTCAAAGAGCCTTACTTGACTTAAACCCTTTCGACTAGCACTCACAGAACCTTGCTTATAGAGTAAACCCTAAACCCTAAACCCTAAACCCTAAACCAAAACCCTAAGCCGCGATCTCCCTTGAGCCGGTCCATCACCGCAGAGGTTCCGACGACTCTGCAGGTCGAGCAGCCGGTTGAGGTCCACCCAGGGAGGGGGGTTTCGGGTATCAGGCGGCTTTATAGGGTTTAGGGTTTAGGGTTTAGGGTTAATAAGCAATAAGCAAAAGCAGCAGCAAAAGCAGCAGCAGCAACTGCAACTTCAAGAATTACTGCGGCCCTGAAATCCTAAACCCAACACCCTAAACCGCCTCAACCCTACTTTTACCCTTAATCCCTAAACACTAAACCGTGCACCCTAAACCCTAAGCCCTAGAGCCCAGATCTACCATATAGATCTTGAAAGGAGCCCTAGCCCCAAACCCCTAAACCCTTAAACCCTACAGAAGCCCCTAAGCCCCTAAACCCACAGTTCAGGGTTTAGGGTTTAGGGGTTTAGGGTTTAGGGTTTAGGGTTTAGGGTTTAGGGTTTATGGTTTGGGGCCCCCTAAACCCCTGAACCCGTAAACCCTAAACCCCTGAAGCCCAAACTAAACCCTAAACTCTTCACCCTAAACCCTTAAGTCCTTATACCCCGAAACCGTAAGGGCCCTAAACCCTACCGAAACGCTAAACCCTAAACCCTATATAAACCATTAAAAACCCTTAACTCCCTAAGCCCTAAACCCTAAACCCTAACCCCTTAAACCCTAAACCCTTAATAAACCCTAAACCCTAAACCCCTCAACCCTATAAACCCTGAACCCCTAAACCCTAAACCCTAAACCCTAAACCCCTCAACCCTATAAACCCTGAACCCCTAAACCCTAAACCCTA